ATTTTTTTTAGTAAAAAAGTAGTCTTATTTAATACCAAAGTGAATAAATAATAAAGATAATAATAATATTAATGCTAATTTTACTTAAAAGAACCGTCATAAATTATATTGAGTATACTAAAATAATTAAATACAAAGAGCTTTTTTAAGTTAAAGAGTGAGTATTTAATCATAATAATTATAATAATAGTTTTATTTTAAACACACAAAAACAGACAGAATGCACATAAATTGTATTAATTACGCTAAATGAATTAAATGCAAAGAGATTTTTTAACTTAAATCCTAATAATATTAATAACAATAATATTAATAATAGTTTTATTTTAAAAGCACCTTATTAGAGAGAATGCCCATGAACTGTATTGAGGATGCTAAATTGAATAAATATTAAATATTTGAATGGAATAACACGGTGAATAAATAATAATAATAATTATTATTATTATTATTATTATTATTATAAACACTTTATTAGCCAGAATGCCCATAAATTGGCATCGAGGATGCTAAATTAAATGCAGAGCTTTTTCAATACTGTCAACTGATCAAACTTTTCACCTTCATTCTAAATATTTAAAGAAAATAATACACATTATTACGCGTGATAGCAGTATTTGTTTATTTATCTCTGACAATAGCGTGCACTGGGACATAATAAAGTATGGAGGCGATGTAAAGTGCATGCATAACAAAGTGTGAAAGCAAACAAACATCTAAAATGCGTCTTAACGCTGAGCGCGGTGTTTTATTCTCTCTGTCAGTCATTTAACATCTCAAACATCAGCAGTTTAATTTCCCCGAGCATGGCAATGTCACTTCTAATAACGCTGTCATTTATCATGCTGCTATTAAAGCGAGGCTGTCATACCTGAATAACGCGCGCGCGCGCGCATGTGTGTGTGTGTGTGACACGCAACAGACCTGTCATTTTCTTGACCTCTGACGAAATGATACGAATGTGAATATATTTACAGATATAACACCAACATGTGAAGGTGAGTTACGTTCTCTCTCTCACACACACACACACGCACACGCACACACACACACACTCACAACACCAGCATCATCATCATCATGTGCAACAGACACCGAACAGTTTAACCAAAGCAAATGAACCCAGCGCTGTTAGTGTGTGTGTGAGTGTGTGTGTGTGTAAATGTTCATAAATGAAGAGTGCACTTACATGGGGAGCTGTCGGATGAACGCGACGCGCGTGTATGTGTCCGCGTGCGTTTTCTCTGTCTCGTGCCCTCCAGTTATTTCTCTCCGACTGATGATGATGATGATGATGATGATGATGTTATTTTGGGGCGGAGCTCCGACAGCGAATCTCTGCGTGCAGTTTCATGCTCTCATGCCCAGACAGACATCACCTATGGCGAGGAGACCGACTGACCACAGCCGCCCGCCCGCCTGCGTGCGTGTGTGTGTGTGTGTGTGTGTGTGTCTGCGCGCGCGCGTTTATCTCTGGGTGAGAGAGTCGCTTTCGCTCTGTATGTATGCGATTGTCTTTCCCTATGAGTGTATTTGTGTCTCTCTTTCTCTCAGTGTGATTTGAATTCTCTCTGTGTGTGTGTGTGTGTGTGTCCATTTAATTTTGACTTATTGGCCTGTGTGTTGCCAAAGCATTTATATATTTATATTAAACAGAACATGTAAAATTGTTACATATGTGAATTATTAAATACATTGGAATATAATTATTATCAAATAAACATTTATATAAATACAATTACAAGGCAAAGTAGACATTTAAAGTAATAATAACTTTCTTGCTGTGTGGTGACTGTGCCACTCTATATTTACCATACTATATTTACATGTACTCTATATTCCTTATACTATACTCTATATTTACCATACTTAAATATACTATATTCTATATTTACTATAACTAAATATACTATACTCTATATTTACTATATTTAAATATACTGAACTGAATATTTTCATACTAAAATATACTATATATTTACCATACTTAAATATACTCTATAATTACTATACTTAAATATAATATACTCTATATTTACTATACTTAAATATACTCTATTACCATACTTAAATATGCTATACTCTATATTTACCATACTTACATATACTCTATTATTACCATACTTAAATATGCTATACTCCATATTTACTATATTTAAATCTACTGAACTATATATTTTCATACTAAAATATACTATATATTTACCATACTTAAATATACTCTATTATTAACATACTTAAATATGCTATACTCTATAATTACCATACTTAAATATACTATATTTACCATACGTAAATATACTATACTTTATAATTTCCATACTTAAATATACTCTTATTACCATACTTAAATATGCTATACTCTATATTTACCATACTTACATATACTCTATAATTACCATACTTAAGCATATACTATACTTTATATTTACCATACTTAAATATACTATACTCTAAATTTACCACACTTAAATATACTATGCTGGTAAAGATTTGAGGTAATAATAATAGATTAAAATAAAACTTTGCGTTTGTATGATTTTAACTGAATTCTCTCTCTCTCTCTCTCTCTCTCTCTCTCTCTCTCTCTCTCTCTCTCTCTCTCTCTAAATTTAATTCTAGTGTGCTTTATTGGCATGACAATGCTACAGATGTACTGCCAGAGCAATTGCAATGTATACAATAAATACAACATATAAAGCAATTACGTTAGTGGTGATTAAAATAATATTCAATTAAAATAAACTCCTCCTCTCTGTGTATTTCTGTCTCTCGGTCTCCGTGTTTGTTTGCGTTTCTCTCCTTCTCTCCGTATGTATGAGTGTGTGCGCGCGCACAGGTGTCGCCCAGCACGACTCCGCGCCGCCGTGTGGCTCCGTGACGTCACGGCGCGCGCTGCGTGGAAGCGTTGCCGTGGTGACAGCGGGCGCATTCTCTTCTCGGACTCGCGCATCATCACGAGTTTCGACTGATGGAAAAGAGCAAATCATTCATGCTCGCTCTCTTTATCGCGCGCACACACACACACACACACACACACACTCTCACTCTCTCCCATTCACACAAAATGACTGGACAGAGCAGCAAAACTTATACAAAACAGAAATCATGACGCAACTTATCTGCTAAAATATGTGCGATAGAATGTGTTTGTGTAAACTAATAAAATAAACTAATTAACTTTTTATGAACAAAAAACACTAATATATAATCTTACTCGTTATTTACAGAAGACAACCACCAAAACGCCATTCAGACTGTTTTATTTATACCATATTTAAGTATATAAGTGTATGAGTGTGAATGAATGAGTGTGTGTGTGTGTGTGTGTGTGTGTGTGTGTGTGTGTGTGTGTGTGAGAGAGAGAGTGAGTGTGTGTGTGTTTCTGTGTGTGTGTGTGTGAGTGTGTGTGTGAGTGAGTGAGTGAGAGTGTATGAGTGTGTGTGTGTGTGTGTATGAGTGTGTATGAGTGTGTGTGTGTTGATGTTTCCCAGTGATAGGTTGCAGCTGGAAGGGCATCCGCTGCGTAAAAACGTGCTGGATAAGTTGGTGGTTCATTCCTCTGTGGCACCCCAGTTTAATAAAGGGACTAAGCCGAAGAGAAAATGAAGGATTGAATAAAAATACTATACCCTATATTTCATTCATTTTGTTTTCAGCTTAATCAGGGGTCGCCACAGAAGAATGAATCACCAACTTATCCAGCATACATTTTTTACTGCAACCCAACACTGGGAAACACCCATACACACACATGCACTACGGCCAATTTAGTTAATCAATTCCCCTATAGAGAACATGCAAACTCCACACAGAAAGGCCAATTGACTCAGCGGGGACTTGAATCAGCAACCTTCTTGCTGTGAAGCGACAGTGCTACCCGCTGCACCACCGTGAAGCCATATTTTAATTATACTATACTCTATATGCACTATACTGTTTAAATTCACTATACTCTATATTCACTATACTATATATAAATATACTATACTCTATATTCACTATACTCTATTTAAATATACTATACTCTATATTCACTATACTATATTTAAATATACTATACTCTATATTCACTATACTATATATAAATATACTATACTCTATATTCACTATACTATATTTAAATATACTATACTCTATATTCACTATACTATATATAAATATACTATACTCTATATTCACTATACTATATTTAAATATACTATACTCTATATTCACTATACTCTATTTAAATATACTATACTCTATATTCACTATACTATATATAAATATACTATACTCTATTTTCACTATACTCTATTTAAATATACTATACTCTATATTCACTATACTATATATAAATATACTATACTCTATATTCACTATACTATATTTAAATATACTATACTCTATATTCACTATACTCTATTTAAATATACTATACTCTATATTCACTATACTATATATAAATATACTATACTCTATATTCACTATACTATATATAAATATACTATACTCTATATTCACTATACTATATTTAAATATACTATACTCTATATTCACTATACTATATATATAAATATACTATAATCTATATTCACTATACTCTATTTAAATATACTATACTCTATATTCACTACACTACAATTAAATATACTATACTCTATATTCACTATACTATATATAAATATACTATACTCTATATTCACTATACTATATTTAAATATACTATACTCTATATTCACTATACTATATTTAAATATACTATACTCTATATTCACTATACTACAATTAAATATACTATACTCTTTATTTACTATACTTAAATAGACTCTATACATATACCAATGCCTTGTAAATAGATAAATTCATCAATTAATAATGTCTGTTTTTTTAATAATGTCAGAATATTTTTGCAGGCAATAATTAATTGCAATATTGAGAGTTTAAGATAATTATTTTTTAATTTTCAAGAAAAGAAAGCTTAACGGCCTTTATTTGGTCCATTTTCTTCTCACGAAATGACACTTGTATTTCTACAATGCAGTAAAACATATGCTGGAATGGTGTGTGTGTGTGTGTGTGTGTGTGTGACATATCGGTTATTTTCTACTTAAAATTGAGACTGTATTTTTATCCTCCTGAAATATTGTGTTTCTGGCAATCTCAGAAGTCGGATGTGAACGTGTTGACATTGTGTATGTGTGTGTGCGTGCGTGTGTGTTTGTGTGTGTGTGTACAAGTGTGTTTGAGCTGTTTAATCGAGTAATTGCTTGTCTGTACTGTGCAGACCCATGAGGTACATTTCTGCTGAATCTAATACTATTGCCCACGCAGAGTCCAGAACACACACACATTTTGTCTCTCTGTGTGTCTCTCTTTCACACACACACACACACACACACGCACACACGCACGCACGCACGCACGCACGCACGCACGCACACACACACAAACACACACTCTCTCTCTCTCTTTCTCACACACACACACACACACACACGCACTTAACCCTGCTCCGGACGACACCGCGCGCACGCACACACACACACACACACACACATACACACACACACACACACACACACACACACACACACACACATATATATATATATATATATTATGACATTTTTTAAAGTTTTAATTTATACTTCATTAATATAAATATAGATTAAAATTCTTTCTCATTTAGTTGAAACAGTTGTATATAAATATTTGGAGTAACAAATT